GTGCGTCAGTGCGAGGGTTGAGGCGTCGCCGTGCCGGTGGTATTGGCCGGCTCGGGTCGCCAGCGCTCGCTCAATGCTGGTTGCCTCGGTGACAAATCTATCAACCGTCGTCACGGGGTTACGGACGAGGCTTCCGAAGATGTCATCCCTTACGCCGCGCCGCGCATGAGGACTTGTAGCTTCTGTCCTTCTGTGGTATGAAGATCCGCGCGGGAACTCAGGCGCAAGACATCTTCCACAAAGATAGTAAAGGTTTCGTTCGGGCCTTGGGTTCTCGACCGAAGCAGGTCTTCGGCTCTCTTTCGTCCATGTTGACTTGAAAACGACCGACGGAGATCCTCTTTGAGTAGTTCCCAGGAGGCGATCGTCGTCTCGTGGTTTTTGTTTCAGTGTCGTGCCGTTCCCTTAAGGAAGAAATAGACATTCTGCAGGCACTCGTCCGACGTCCATCCATTTTGACGAGTCACTCGTTTATACTTCTGGATCCAGTCGTCAACGTATTCGCAAATATCGCCGCGAAATGCAGATGCTGCCCGAGGGGCAACGGGCAGGTATATTATGTGGAAGGCAGCGCCGGGAGCCTCAGTTAATAGGCCCCGGCAGGCCATAGTTGGTTTTGTGGACTTCTATCTCTGGGGGTTCGGTAGAAGTTCAAATTCCGGGGGTTGATCTTTGGTGCGCCGGCTTCCTCGGGTCTCGGTTGTCTCCATGGACGGTCTTCTTGAGCCACGGGCTGGGCTTGCGCTGCGAGACCTCGGAGGGGTACGCTTCATGGGCTACGGTACTTCGCACCTCCACCAGAAATGTCACGAATGAGAGACGGTCAGGCAGAAGAAAGTGGAATGAACCAAATATTTAATGGGGGCGAACTTGTGCCAGAGGCGAAATAAAGAGAACAGACGTCGAGAGAGCAACCGTGAGCGTCAACGGCGGCAGCACCAAGCGAAGGTGAGACGGCGTAACAGCTGGCTATCGCGAGAGAGAATCGGTAAATGAATCGGCAATGCGGCGCACGGCTCTTTATCTATTACGCTCGTCATGTCGAATATTCGACCTAGAATGTTCGGGAAAGAGCTAGGGCGAGATTGACTAGACAAGGTAATTCTGGCCTCCTTAGTGTTTACACTCGGGGTAAGAGTGTACGCGAATCATCTAGGTGAACGCAGGAGCGTATTTTCTCGCTCATGCACGCGTCATTATCACGGTTAGATTTAATTCCTAACGAAAGAATGCTGCTTTCTAGTTAGTAAAATATAAAACTGACTGCGCGATTTTGAAGTTATTCCATCTTTGTAATCACTCAATGTTGCCAGTGGGGCCAGGTAGATGGTGCGCATTCAATTTGTGATAGTACAAGTGTAGTGCAGGCTACTTTTACTACTCACTATTGTGCTAGTTTTAGATTCCGTCGAATATAGCCAGAAGAGCGGTTAGAACGTTTGACAGGATATGTGTTATATGAGTGTTTAATGAGAGGTCGTCAGACATGTCAACGCCAAGATACTTGTAAGATAGACACCTGGTTGCACATCGTGTAAGCCAGCGAGAGAGGAATACGAGCACGCGTGGAGGGAACGAGTTGCGTTTAAAAAAGTATGTTCGGCTCTTAGGTCGAGTTCGGCTTGTAGGGTTATGTTATGAACCAGGTAACATACAAATCGATAAATTACGCAGCTGTCAGCAGAGTCGAATACAGGATTTTTTTTATCAAGGAGGTCTTTTATAAATATTAAAGCAATAGAGTGCCAAGAACACTGCCCTAGGGAACTCGGAAGGATACAGGGGAATTAGAAGTCGGGTAGTTGTTCATTCCAGTATGCCGAGTACGAACTGTAAAAATAATGTATGATTCATTATATCACGAATGAACGAACGTAAAGTTCATTTAGTATGAACATGAGTCAACTATGGAATGCATTTCACAATGCTTTAGAAAAATAATGAATATGGCGTCAGTATGTATGTTATTATCCGTGTTGCTGAGTATTTTATGTACAAGTTAAATTAGTTGTGCTTCACAAGAGAATGATTGCCTCTACCTGCGCTTGTTTGAAAAAGGTATGTGGTTCTTTTTGAGATAGTTTGTGACATTTTTATATATTATATGCTCAAGAAGTATAGCACACTGGTTAGGGATAGGACGATATAGTTTGATGCTCAAGTTTGATGGCCCAATATGTGTACAGGGACCACATTCCCGATTTTCCAGTTTGGGGGGGAGGGCTCGCCAGAGACAAAGAGTGCTGGAAGATAATTACCAAAAAATTGGATAAGTGTGATTGTGCGTTATTTAGTTATTTGAAATTCATATTGTGGTCCCCAGAAATAAAGAGAGCTGTAACCTTTCTATTGGGTTTCTCTTTATACGACCTTTCTACCACCAAAGGCATATTAAAGATAGCTTTCGATAGTGAATTTATATTGCAGTTTAGTAAATATTACAAATTTATGACCACCACCGAGAAGACATCTGTGGAAATTCTCATTATTTCCAGAAAAGCTGCGCTGGAAGCGTTCATCAAACAACCGAAGTCATAGCAGCGGGAATGCATATACTGGGTGATTCATCAAAGACTTTCTTAAATCCTTAACAATACGGTGGTTCATAAGAAAAAGAAACTCTTTACAGGAACAGGCTGTCAGCAACGGCGCACGTCAGAGATTGCAAAAACACATAAAAAAACTTAACATTTAACTAATATCTACTCATCAATTTTTAACTCGGGAAAACAAACGTTTAGTCTCAATTGTTGAGCATCATTGAAAAGCACTAGATCTGAACCAACGCCACAGGATTGTAGGCGTTTGTTCGGATTTTACTTCTGACACCATGTTCCGTGTAAAGTAAAACGGACAGAACCAAGACGTTTTTCCCTTGACACCAGCCAAGCAAGGAACGTCCTTTATTCCAGATCGTTCTACTGACCACGTCTCTCATATCTCAAGAACAAGGGCACGCATGCGTGTGCTACGTGCTAGTCATCTTGCTTCGCGCAGGTGACGCAAGATGAGAGTGCTTGCTACTTGTATGCAGAGCCTTGTACCGACTTGCTGTATATACATAATTTCAAAGCATGACTGCTAGGATGCCAATAATAAAACAAAAAAATTATAAAAATTAAAAAGAAATCTCAAAATTTATAATCAAGGTACATGCAACTGCAAGCTCAACTGGAGACACCATTCTTTTAACTGATATTTTATTCGCTTCAATGAAGCTAAGTGGAGAAGTGCCTTCGGTAAAGTATTAAAATAATGTGGAACATGAAAGCATGTATTTTCCCCCCCCTAAGTTTTGCACGTTTCTCTAATAATAAAAGTCTCAATGCATATCAGAGTTTGAGGTTTTGTCAGAACTATCAGTCTTTTTTATAGTATTGTTTTATTAACATGGACATACCAGTTCAATCCTTCTAAGTTAACGTGCCAAAGATACGCAGTTTCTCACATTTGTCCACGTTGTCGTGGGTCGTTTTATAGGCGATATTGCTTGAAATTTAGTACAGTATTGAGTCTATTTCGAGTTTTTTTTTTATACAAAGTTAGCCCGTGCTTTGTAACGAGACGGCATATCGAGGGATTGATTCACCGAGCGCACTACACACATTTTTTTTTAAGAGATACACTTGCTATACAACGGATCCTGTACAAGTACCAAAAAACAACGTGCAATATCTTGAGCAATTCAACATGATTATTCGAAGAGCATTTTTCATCAAGATTCGTCCCCGAACATACAGGTCTCGTAACATAGTCTAATAGTTTAATGGTACGCAATTACAGCTTTTAAAGCCTCGTGAATACAGGAATGGTGGAGTCGTCAAGTTCAGGCCTTTGTACGGATTACGAAAGCAGATTTACTTAGTCTTATTAGTTAACAAAAACACAATTAGCTGAAAACCAATCGGCTAAACATTTCAACGTCTTTCTAAAAACTTTAAAGCGAGTTTTTTTCTTCATCGTGAGTCAATACCAAAGCGGTATCTTCAACACAGATCTTGGGCGTCCTCCAGAAGTTACGTGTACTACATATCACTCTTGAAGTTGCCAGTTCTAACTAATTGATAACGGTCAGTAGTATAGTTCCTCAAAGAAACCTAAAGGCATCTCTGAAACCCATATAACATAGTTTTTTTTATGAGTGCATTATGATCGATAGTTTCCAGTGTTTTTGTTAAATCTATAAACAGTGCTCACGCAAATTTATTGCTACCGAGTCTGTACTTTGAGTAGTCTGAAAAATATTCTAGCAGTAGTTCAGTAATCCTATGTTTAAGAAAACCAGATTGAGAGGTTCGTAAATAATATACATTTTTTTTGCAATAGGAGATTCTTGTATTCACCACAAATTTCTTGATGATTTGCGATGTAACCGGTAATGTTGAAATGTTTCTGAAATTCCTAACGTCTTTTTTTTAATCTCTGACGTTCGTTTTGGCCGGTTGTGTATTTTAGTGAAGGTCTATCTTTTTCTCAACCACACTGCTTCAGGGATTTTTTAGTCTTCGCTAAACACCCTGTATGTATGTTAATATCATAAAACTGACGCAGGCGACGCAGTCTATTGAGGTCAGACGTAAAAACACGCCTCGCCGCACAAGCGCGCACATTATAACGTATCGTTATCATATGCATGTTACCAATATCGCCATATACTTTAAAATTACTTCTCCGTTTAGAAAAACTCAACCTTTACGCACTTTTAGTTGTTTGTGGTAAAGGTTCTTTGCCCCATGTGCTGTTTCCAGACGTCAGCGGCATATTCCAACACATTGCAAACGGCCTCCAAACTCTTCCTGTTGACGTCGTAACCATACTAACAGATTTAGGGGTGCGTAAAATAAACACATACGCTTTAAGTTTTTTTTTTTTTTAAAGTCCTCGGCGCGCACCTGCCGTTTAATTAAATAAAGGCGGTCCAATGAATGCGTCTTATTCACTCGTATATATATAAACAATTAGTGAATCGACGATGTTCATATAGAAAAGATTTTAGAAATATGTTCGCGATATTTCAGTGCACGTTCCTCTCGTGGCTGCTCTTACGCGTTTCAGATTGTGGTAAGTGTTCGTTAGAGCAAACCTGGTATAAAGTTCTCACCTCCTGCGTTTCCACCTTGACTAACAAGTAACTTAATTTCCCCCAACACTTTGTCTGTTGCCGTTGTTGTTGCGATAATTAGCACATACTCACGTGAATTTCAATAGAAAAGGCCACAAATAGTGACAGAATGATAACGAATTCTTTTTAAGCGGCTTGTTCGCAAGATGTTCACCTTGCACCCTGTTTTAAGTTAGAATTCTCCATATTATTCCTGTAGCCAAAACTGGCACCTCGTGAAGAAGCTAATTCTGGGCAATAACTCTGACGTCGTCCCGTTTGTCCTGGTGTTTCTTAATTACACCTTATTATATCATTATTACGCTATAGTCACTGGCGGCTCAAGGAACGCAGGGCGGGCCTCCTATGAATTACGCCTTCTGATTCGTCATTTGTTCTTCGGCGTTGTTATCGGCTCATGCAGCAATCTCATTGGCTGCGAGGAGCTAATGAGATACTCGGAAATCTAGACGCCCATGTGCGTTCCTTAAAGGGCCCCTGAAAAGAAAAAATTTTTTTTTAAAGAACAGTCTGGTCGGGACACGCGTGCTAAAAAATCAATTTTACACGAAAAAAAATTTTTTAGAGCAATATTGACCGCGCCAGACGCAATTCAGTCGGCAGTCACCTCCTTTCCACCTTTTTCTCTCTCGGCATTTCGGGCGCGTGGAGGAGAGGTACACCCCGCCTCTTCGTAGTGGATCGGCTTGGCTACTTTCCCGGCTTGGCTGCGCCCCGCACGAGAGCCATTGCTACTTCCTGGCCGTGTTCCAAAATTTACTCTATCTTACCCCAGGGTAAGAGTTTTGTACCCTTGGCGTTCTAAAACCTACCCGCGTACAGCGTTTTTCAATCTGTGCTGTCACGTGATACGATCCGCCGGAATAACTCGGATCCATTTGGAGATTTGGAACACAGTCCCTGTGTCTGCCGGTCGCACGACGTACCTCGTCGTATCGTGCACGTACCGTGGTCACACAGTACATACTCGTCGCGATGGACCCCGACCTGAAGCGTCGGTTGCTTCAACCCTTCAACGCTGCCAGCAGCTGGGCCTTCGCCCGTACGAGGACACGCCTCGCCAGCCGGAAGGCGTCCGCTCCGATCGCCGCGAGACAACCGCTCGCGAGGAGGCACCCACTTCGCCGCGGAAGGCGGCGAAGCGGGTGCCTCGACGAGTTCGTCCGAGCCGCACGACCCTTCAAGCCGCCGCGAGGACACGCAGTGGTGACTGATTTTTTTATTAAACGTTAAGTGCGGTGCCGCGTGCCTTCACTAAACTCTTTACAAGAACCGATATCTAAAAAAAAAAAAAAATTGGCACTGGCGCGCGCCAGAAAACATACAAAAGATAGGGTAAACGGGACACACGAATCACGCAAAGAAGAACAGGAAAACAAATACCTGTCACACCGCGCCACTTGCTAAGTACTTACGATGACTAACACAAGCAACAAGCCCTCTTCAGAAGGTTTTCTCATATAAACGCGATAAAACCACCCGAGGTACGCGAGACGCGTTACAACGACGGCGACCATGAAAGAAAACAAAATGGCGAAGCGTTTGTTTGTTGTTTTGTTGTAGTGTCCGAACGGAAGTTACGATTTTGTAAAACGTTTGTAAGCAATTGCGAGATTCATTCGATGGATTGTTTCTTAAACCTAAAAATATGTAATTCAAAAGGCGATCTCAAGAGATCACGAAGATTTTATAACCAACATCTAAGCTGTCACTCATTCTATTGGCCAATGAGAAGCCGATTTGAATGACCATGGTTACCAATGAGAAGCCGAGCTGAATGACCTGGAATTTGCGCGCAAAATTTCAAATAAATCTCTCGACGTCAATATTGCTCTAAAAATTTTTTTTTTCGCGTAAAATTCATTTTTCGACACGCGTGTCCCAAGCAGACTGTTTTAAAAAAAAACTTTTTTTCCTTTTCAGGGGCCCTTTAAGCTGTCTCTGATCACGTGATATTTGTAATCTTACTTTCCTGCTTGCCTGTCACTCCTTTTTGCGTTAAATTATGCTTCGATGTATTTTCAATACCGCTAAATCTGCGTTTTCCTTTCGACTGATTCTGTACATGCAAACTTTAAGGCCTTCCGCTTTGTCACTTCGTCGTTCTTTTGATCTACAGGGAGAAACAAGGAGACGCCAGGCTCTTTAAATCGACCAGAAAATTCGGTTTCTTAACCCATCGCGCTACGACTTTGTGCAGCGTTGCCCACAGGTGGTGCATTTTTTTTTTTTTTTGTAGAATTTGCAAAGAGCGAACTTTCCTGAGGAAAAAGTAAAGAAAGAAAAAGGCTTAGCTACTATGGAAACGCAGCGACGCCACCGGTCTTCAAAGAGCACGGCGCCGTTTCGCACGGGACAGAAGAGATGGCGCAACGAACGCCGCCAACGAACGAGCATACGGCGCCGAGAGCCAGCGCCTTTAGCAGACAATCTTTTCGACTCAAAAGCGGCGCGCGTTCCGCAGGCGGCGATAGTCGCAGAAACAAAAACAGGCGCGGTAGCAGCAAGGAACTGCAGTTCCTTCTCTGCTAAATATGCCGGCTCTCGGCGTCGTCTGCTCGTTCGTTGGCGGCAGTTGGCGTCGTGACCGCTTGCGCCATCTCTTGTCTCCCGTGCGAAACGGCGCCGTGTTGTTTGAAGACCGGTGGCGTCGCTGCGTTTCCATAGGAGCTAAGCCTTTTTCTTTCTTTACTTTTTCCTCAGGTAAGTTCCGCTCTTCGCAAATTTTACAAAAATAAACAACAACAAAAAAATGCACCATCTGTGGGCAACGCTGCACAAAATCGTGGCGCGATAGGTTAAGAAACCGAATTTTCCGGTCGATTTAAAGAGCCTGGCGTCTCCTTGTTTGACCCTATATATCTCGGAACAGAGGCGTGCCTTTCAAGAAATTGGCGGTTGGGCGGTCCTTTATTGTCAATGTAAAATGAATGACAAAATTTGTCTACATTATAAAAAAAAAAGCCTGTGGGTCTACATTTACACACAGCACTCGGAGAACCAATCAGCGCAACTTACGGAGGCAGCTCAGCGAATGATGATGCCGAAATGTCTGTTTAGACCAAAAAAAAACGCAGTCTGAATTGTGACATTAAACAATGCAAGCGTGACGTTTCGCATTGCTTAATGTCACAACTCAGGCTGCGTTTTTTGGTCTGAACATATGTTTCGGGGTCGTCATTCGCTGAGCTGCCTCCGTAAGTTGCGGTGATTGGCTCTCCGAGTGTTTGCGTGAAACTAAACGCACGGACATTTTTAGAGTGTACATCTTGTGTTTGGTAGACATCGGCCGTTACGTTATGTGTAAAGATAAATAAATAATTAATATCTTTTTAGAGATATTGCCAGTGCGCTTGCGTCACCGCCTTGGAAATCAAGCAATATTAATCTTCAAAACAATCTTTTTTTTTTTTTTGGGGGGGGGGGGGGGGAGGAAATAATGTATTTTCGGGGTTGAGGGTAATTTATTGACAACACACGCGACACGTAAAACAACGCCAGAACAACGTCGGCAAGTAAATAGGACCTCATTTTTAACTGAAGTTGTTGTCAGCGAGTAACTGTTATATAAACACAGTTACATACTTGACGTGACTCTAGGTTAGCCTGCGCAAAGAGGGAGACACATCTGAAGGGTTATTAAATTGTCTGATTTGAATTACAGTTACATAATTAAAAGGAGATCAACAAATTTCAAGAAATATTGATATGAAAGCGCACTTCTAATGTCTCTTCACGCTTACTGCGCGACAAAATTAGCATGAATGTGACGTCACCTTATTTTTGTAAGTTTGCATGCTCTAAAGTGTCTAGCAGCAATTTTCAGCCCATAGGTGTGTTACCTACGTAAATACATTTCACTTCGTTATAGGTTCTGATCACAGCATGTTAGCTAAGAGTGAATACTAAAAACAAACCAGCGACCTCGTGTTTTTTTTGTTTTTTTGCCTGCGTCATATACACCATACATCAAAGATTCTTTGTCTAACTTGCTATTGGCGTATATTTTTTATTTCGTAAAAAAGAAGTGTCACATTGCTCCGGCATATGTTACTAGGCAGAACGTGATTTAGAGAGTACCTAAAATTAAACACCTAAATGTCAAATTACATTCGAATACTTAGTTTTTAAATCATAAAAAAGCCATTACTCTGAATATTCTGATTATGTTCTTAGCTTAGTGACACGGAACCTTCGTACCGCTCCTGCTATTGACAAGCAGGCCGAGTTATACCTCTAACGTTGTCCGTGCATACGCCAGCATTTCCACGTTGTCTCGCAAGTTCTAGACACGTGTGAGTCAAAACCGTTCGATCCGACGTATAAAGCATCGAAACGATGACCGGATCCGGCAGGTTTGGTCGTCGCGGAACATTGCACAGGGGCTTCCGCCGAGTGAGGCCGACCTACAAGGTATTAGGCGCATCAATGAAAACGTAATTCTATGGAAACCCCGATGACGCGCACGTCATACTGGCGTCACGAACATGCTCCGCGTGTCTTGTGTGTGCGGCAAGTCAGAACGACCATTTTTCTGGAGTTAAAGGGGTTTGAACGAACCCGTGCCTTGCGCCGCAGTCTTGTGCAATCACAAACGAAAACAAAGAAAAATAAAAAACAATTTCAGAGAGGCGCACCGGAATTTCAGCTCGCGTTTAAAGGCCACTGTTCTATATGCTGTTGGGATATAATTAATGTTTATTCTGTTGCCCCTTAATATAGTTGCTGCATAGTAGAAAAACAACGATGTTCTTTTTGTCGTTTTTACCTCCTTGTCTCTGGGTTTTTCTACTATGACTCGTCAGCAGCTCGCCTGCGTCTTTACTCGAATTTCTTTAGGTGCTGCGCCCCATCTGTATTTCGCTTGCATTTCGACGAAGAAGCAATTGCTGCATTAGAATTATGCGCAGGAAGCTGACGAAAAAAAAAAAAAAGAGCT